AGTAAGCAAACAGTAATTACTTCTTCATAATTACCATGCAACTTTATTGCTTTGCATTGTTATAATTATATTTTAAATACTCCCCATTTCCATGATAGACCATAATGTCTTCTAGCACATTACAATCTGTGGCTCTTAACGGCATCTCACTTCCACAAAGGCATTGTTTCCACTCAGTCTCTATTTTAACTACTGTTAAAAGAGACTTCACAAAATTAATTGGCACCATAATTCTGCAATAAGGAAATTGTAGGCAATATGATATTTCTGTGCTACTGAAATCATCTCATTACTCAGAGGAGTCGTGACTGATATCTAAAAAGTATTCCTTCTTCTCTTAGGGAGTCAATTATAAGCAAATCCATGTTTCTCAAACTTCAGTGTGCACACTAATCACCCGGGGATCTGGTTCAATTGCAGATTTTGATCCAGTAGATTTAAGGAAGGGCCCGAGATTCTGCATTTCTGGCAGGCTCCCAGGCGATGATACCAGTGCTGTTGGTCCTTGGACCATGCTTGAAGTAGCATAGCAAGGACCATAAATACTTCAGAGTATTTAGAGTCTGACATTTGAGCTACATAGTGTGTTGGGGGTGGGGGATAAAGCTGGGAAAGAAAATTCCAAGTCGGAAGAAAGGCATATACAGGGGAGGCACTGCGAACCCCACTCAGGAGTGGGAGAGGCATGATGAAGGAAAAGATGAAGAGGACAAATTCTTATCTTTTAATCAAGGTGTTTGAATTTTATCTTGCAGTATTTAGAACTCACCTAATCACTAGAAAATTATATACCTAATTTACTAATTCACCTAATGTACTAGTGTTATCTCTTGTACACTCAATGAAACACACCCCCCTTGAGAAATGAAAAAAATCAAAATTACATTACCGAAATTCAAGGATAATATTATGGATGTATCCGTCTTTTTTTGAGTGACACATTGAAAATCTGTTTCTAGGGTTTTATGTTTTATTCATGTAGTAATACATTGCAGGCCTATATTTTTCTCATCATAAGTATCTTCAAGCCAGTGAAGTAACAGCAGTTGTTTCAATTTAGCAACATCAGTAAATATAAATAAGGCATTATCAACATCTACAGTATATTGAAATTCTCAAATATCAGGGTGGCTAAGATTTGTGTTTTCTGAGACACTATAAAACACAAAGACATCTCAGTTGGAAGTAAAGAAAGTCTCACCCCATGACTTTTTGAATTTCTCTTAGGGTAAAAGTAAGTTTTTGCAAAGGGGATTGGGAGCTGGGTGAAAAAGGTAAAGGGATTTAGAAGTACAAATTGGTAGTTAAAACACTCACTGAGATGTAAAATACAGCACAGGGAATTTAGTCAATAACACTGTAATAACTTTGTACGGTGTCAGGTGGGTACTGGACTTATGGGTGGCTCACTCTGCAAGTTACATAAATGTCTAATCACTGCACCAAAACTCATATGAGTAGCAACTGCAATTAGAAATTTTTAGTTGAAAAAAAAATGGAAAATTTTAAGACAGGTTTAAATTCCAGAATCTCCTAGTTTATCTGTATTTGATAGTTAGCAAACTAGAATATGATTACGTAATTTCATTGCCAGGATGCCTCTGCAAAATTGTGTGATGCCAGTGTGTAGAAGAAATAAATCCTAAGGTTAACAATTTGTTCAGCGCCTCTCGTTTTCCTGTCAGTGCAGCACCCCTAACTATTTAGCATCCAAAGCTTCACAAAAAAGGCTTTTGAATATGTGTGTGTACACATGTGTGTATGTGCGTGTGTGTACACACCTGTGTGTGCATATATACATATGTATATACATATATTAATTATCTTGATCACATAAACGTGTGCTACATGTTTTACATATTTAATTATATATTTAATACATATGTTTTAACTAAATATTGGGAAAATTCTGCCTTTTTAGATATGTAATTATAGGTATATTATTGTTTTATGGAGAACAAACTAAAAGTAGAGATTATCTCTTTCAACAAAGAAAAATTTCCTAAGAACTTCATTCTACAACTGTTATCAAATAATTTAATATGGGACTTGGGGAAAATAACACTCAGTAAAATCTATTGTTGTGTGGATGGTACCATACTTTTTCTAGTAAGTGAAATGCAACTTTGATGGATTTAAACTGCCAATAGATCTTTTGCAATGGAATCACAAAAAATAATAGTAAAAATACTTTTTTAAAAACAGAGAAAGGGTAATTCATCATGGGCAAGTGCATTTCAACACACATGAGTAACATGACCTACACCTGGCTGGTGTGGCTCAGTGGATTGAGCGCCAGCCTGCAAACCGAAGTGTTGCCAGTTCGATTCCCAGCTACAGCATACGCCTGGGATGTGGGCCAGGTCAGGTCTCCAGTACGGGGTGCACCAGAGGCCCCAATGTGTGGTTACACATTGATGCTTCTCTCCCTCTCTCCCTCCCTTCCCCTCTAAAATAAATAAATAAAAAAAATTTTAAAAAAGAATAACATGACCTATATCATACAGCTGGTAATGGAAGCCCGACTTTGCTGATGACTCAGGAGAGGGACCTGGGCTGCAGGGGCCAGATGGCCCAATGACAAGCCGTCGTCAGCAAGAAGCATTCTGGAAACACAGATCCTCTCCATGAGCAAATCTTTTTGTCGTTCTTGGAGAAGAGTCACACATTCTGTGGCCAAACCACCATGGAGTTCAAATGGAAGAGAAATGATATAAAATTAAGCCCAGTTGATTAAACACTCTGAACTCTGACTCTGACAAGTGATCACCTTTCCCAGCTGACAACTGGCAGTGTGGCTAGCAGAGATGCTAATAGATAATGGTAGTTAGAGCTAACATGGAGTTGGTGTTTATTTACGTACCATACCTTGTTTTAAGCCCTTTCCATGCATTAATTCATGTAATTTTCACAACAGCTCTTTGAGGTAGGTAACATTATCATCCCCATTTTATACAGGAGGAAAACGAGTCACAGAAATACATTTTTTAAAGTATGTATCTTCTTATAACTAGTAAGGCAGGAAACCAGACCTCAAAGCCAGGAAGCCGACTGCTAGCCCTAATAATTGACTGCACCCAGAGTATGTATTAAAGCCTCTAGCAAGAGGAATGGCCTGAAGAGAAGCCATTGTGATAGTCTGTATTGTACTGTGTACTCTAAAAGAATGTGCTTTAGGAGGCGAAAGTTATAATGAGTCTTGCTTCCGACAGTAGCAAGTACATCTTGTGAAAGTCATTATCCAACAAGGCATAAAAGGTAGAATCTACAATTCTTTACAGCAGGAGATTTAAGGTATTTCCAGATTTGGTTGTCTTGGTGGGAAATCTGTGTTATTGCCGGTGATAAACTCATATGTTAGCATGACCACACCCTTTAAATGGATAGATGGACCTCAAATGTTTATAATGTCAAGAGAGAAAATATCCTATAGTGAGGAATTTATATATATATATATATATATATATATATATATACACATGCACTTTTAAAATCTCACAGGAAAATTTATTACACAAAGTTTTGAGGTCCACTGCTTGCATTTACCCATTTGGTGTTCATCTGAAGAAATAATTTAGACTATTTCTAATGTGAAGAACTCCATAATCATTTTTTGCTTCAGCCAGATTAGTAAATGGCCTTGGCTGCAATGGTAGGGATGACTCATCCACATTTGTGTTCCATCTTCCAGCAGGCCAGGCTGGGCATATTCATGTAGCCACGCAGAGAAGCAAGAGAAGCGAGCCCTAATGCTTGAAAAATTTGAAATCTTCTGCTTTTGTCTCATTTGACAATATCTCATTGGCCAAAGCAATTTACCTGGGGTCAGACCAAGAGTCAGGTTGAGAGGACTCAACTGTACTGCATGGCAAAAGAGAAGGATACAGGGAGGGGTAAAGAATTAGGGCTATTAATACAATTCATTTTTAGCAAAACACAATTTTTTTCCACCAGAGTATGGAGGGGTGGGGAAGGAAAGGGTTCATTTTGGTTTTCAAACTGTAAATTTACAAATTAATATCTGGTCTGTTCAAGCAAATGCACTAACAACAACAACACAAAAAACCCTCCCAGCCATGTTAGTGTATTGATCAAGTTTATTGGGCCCATTTGGCTTTTTTTTCCCCCAATTCATTCATTTTTAAATAATTTGTAGTAATAACATGTAGCAATTTTGCTGGCAAGTAAAAATGTGGAGGTGGCACCAATTCTCAAAGAATAATTTTTGTCCTGTTATGTTTTTAAAAGATTATCATTTTTGCAATGTTATTGTTGGAAGAGGAATTCTGTCATGCTTTCGGTTGGGTCAATTTTTCTGAGGAATTAAGTTTACATAAGCCACTGAGGACCATACTTTCCCCCATCCATAATTCATTTGTTAGGGCCATATCCGTTGGCTGTATTTTATTATGTGGGTTCACTTAATATTCAAATAATTAGTCTCCCTGGGATTCTGACTAGATTTACTGGGAAATTGGAGTGAAAGGGGTTGGGTGAACAATCAATTTCTAGGCTTTATGAAATTGTAGAGAATAATGAGAAAAAATGGCTAATTTGCTTGCAATTGCAAAATAGCTCCCTTAGTAGAAAGAAGCTCCTATCTCTTTCCAAGATAGAATTCGATGGTCTCTATAGTGAAAACAACGTTGATTTAAAGGAGAAATGTTTATCCAAACCCAAATACTGGTTATGGATGTGTTTCTAACATAACTGGAAGGGGTCGACACTTGCCTCTTCACTTCTAAGGCGAGTTCACATTTTGCTTCAGCTGATTATTTTTTCAACGGTATTTGTTATCTTCTTTTATGATCTGCCAGTACTTTTTTGAAGCCCGGTTAGAACAGAGGCCAACAGAGTGGAGACTAAAAAAGGGCCAAATATCTCTCCAGAAGCGAGACTACTTCAAAAGCTATGCATTACAAAGCCCTACTGTGACTCAAATAATCACTTATTTTTAAAGGGGGATTTGCTAATAGAGGATTGGTTTCTTATCTCCCCAGCCCCTAGTGAGCCTTTACTGTGCAAATTCGCTGATGGAGGACAAAAGAAGAGACAGAATCAAAGCAAATACACCCAGAATGGAAGGCCGTGGCCCAGGGAAGGAGAGGTGAGTCCTGGCTGGCTTGTGCTCAGAAAGTGGGCAGCAGACAGCCCTCAAGAAGAGCAGCAAGACCCATGCCTGGGTCCCTGAGGACATCGGGTCCCATGGAAAACCAAATGGCTCCACAGGGGGCAAAGGAGCAGGCCTGTGTTCATGCACTCAGGATAAATTTACTTGAGAAACAGTATAGGACTTCAGAATTGACCTCCATTCCACACTACACTAAGTCTTCTGTCATTAACCCAACTTGAACTTCATAGCCATGCACAGAAAGACTTCTTCACAAAGAATTGATCTGTAATTGTATGGTATTTAGTGATACGTAATTGAGGGTATGATTACTTAAGAAAATATTTTCAGTGAAATCAATTGTAAGAGTTCAATGTTCGTATTTTGAAAAAAGCAAACAAAAAATAAGATTTATTTCATTCTACCATTGGGGTGTTTTACCTGCACAAGTATGTGTACTTATGTATATGCCCATATGTTCATAAATGTGTTGATATGTGTTATATATGTATATATATATCAATGTAAAGTATAAATTTTTATATTGGCCAAGAAGAAATAAAAGGTAATAATGCACAAGGTTTTGTTTTTCACAACAAGGAGAAAAGCATGTAACCATTAATTATCCACTTACCTTACTAACACCAAATGGTAGAGAAGCAAGCCTATGGATCCAATTGCACTTGGAATGATTTTTGGTTATTTTCTATTGTAAGAAGACAAAGAAAAGGTGTCTAGGCTTCTAAGAGGTCTTTTTATTCTTTGTGAAATGGAATGAAGTTGTCTGAATGACTTGAATAAATGCCATTTTGTACCAAGGCCATGATTTCAACAGAAGAGCTTTATTTAGCATTTCTATTCAAAGCGCCCACTTCATCCATTTATTATTTAAGAGGCATCCTATTTGATGTAGCATTTTACACACAGCACAGAGAGGAGAGTTGTAAGGAAAGAAGTGGGGCGCGATTTTTCTGAGCAAATCCTTTAGCCGTTTCTCAGTTCCTAAGGCTGCCATCTGTTTTGAGTATTTTCGTGCAGGTCCAAAACCCCCTCTTAAAGAGTATAGTTATGTCTAAGTATTGTACAACCTATAACTCATTACTTTAACACATGAAAAAGAGAATCACCATGGAGTGCCTAAAACTAATTTTAAAAAGGCAAGAGTTTCAATATTCTCAATTTTAGCAAGGCAGAATGACCCAGGTGTTTTTAGTGTGCAGTGTAGTAGTCAGTGGGGTAGCTGATTTCTGCTAACATTCATTATCATGTGGGTCTCATACCAAACATTTATCTCTGGAAAGACTCATTTGATCTTTTAACATTTGGTTGGGTAAAATGCCTGCTGATTAGAAAGATTTCTGGATCACAAACCATAACCCAAAACCCTCAAGACTGAATTAGGTAACTTAGCACTAATGACTAAAAGTCTAATTCTTGTCTCCTCAAGAACTTACAATATTACATTTGCAGTGTAGTATTGCAATGCCAACTGTAGTAACACACCTCACCTGAGTTTACATTTCATAGAAACCAACCCAATAAACATAAAAGAAATGCAGAAGAGCTGCCACCTGGTGCTGTGTACAGAATGCTGGTTTGGAATATGATACGAAAGAGCACGTGTGGTGTTGGCCGGGAAACATAGTAGTGTCAAGTTTAGGGCCCAGAGCACCTTAGAATTTAAATGCAGGTTTGAAAAGTATATTCTTAATCTTTGCTTTCAAAAGTTGTTCTTTAAGAGCTGTAAGTTTTCCTGTTGAACTATGAAGGTCAACGGACCTTCATAAATTTATCTGTGACCAATACAAATATATTCCAAGTGTGTAGACACATCTAGAGGCAAGAAATCAGAAAGAGAAATGATATGCATTAAAGATATGCTTATCAAATATCTTGTTTTGGAGATGAGCATGTTAATTTTTACAGTTTTATTGTGGTCTTAGAAATAGGCACACCAAGAATTTTGGATAACTTTATGTGTCCATCATTATATGTTTTTTATGTCTATTTCCCCATGCATTTGGCTGGCTAGAGTAAATTAAACTATATTAGCATGTTGATAAAGTATGACAATATATATCAATTATATGTCAGCAGTAGTTAATTCATCTTATATACAGTAAATTCTAATTACTGTTTTTCATTTTTTCTAAGATACACATTTTTTGTTAGTGTTTTTCCACATTTTAAAACTTTTGAAATAGATTTTCCCCATATTGTCAATGTCATTACAAGATAATTTGCGTTTGCTCCTGTTCATCACCTGGCATAGTACCTACATACTCTGCTTAAGGCCTATGGCCACACTGACTGCGTGAATTGAAACTTCAATCAAAGTAAGAATGGTGGGTCAGATTCTTAGGGGAAATTATTTTTGTCCCCTTCTTTCATCCAGTGTTAAGATTGAGACACGCGCCTTCTCTTGAAGTTTGTTTCTAATGGGTGGTATTGTTTTCCTATCATCTTATAGCCCTTTGACATCCCAGCTTTATAAGGAGATCATTTAGAGTGTCGGTTTTTGCTTGTTTACTTTGTTATACACTTGACCTTGAAAAACACAGGTTTGAATTGCACAAGCCCACGTATGTGTCCTTTTGCAATAAACATATAGATAGCCCTTTGTATCTAGTGGTTTCCCATCCACAGTTTCAAGCAACTTCAGGTGGAAAGCAGTATCAGCTATATGTACTTGGGAATCCGCAGATGGTGAAGGGCAACTCTATGCTATTTTATATCAGGGACTTGAGCATCTGTAGATTTTGATGTGTGGGGTGGGGCATGAGGGGTGAGGGCTTGGTCCTGGAACTAATCCCCCATCGATACTTAGTTAAGTTTGAGGAAGTAAAAAGTTATATGTGAATGTTTTTTAAATATATGTTATTGATTATGGTATTACAGTTGTCTCATTTTTTTTCTCCCCTTTATTCCCCTCCACCCTGTACCCCTCTCCCACCATGATTCCCCCACTTTAGATCATGTCCATAGGTCATACTTGTAAGTTCTTTGGCTTCTCCATTTCCCATACTATTCTTAACCTCCCCCTGTCTATTTTGTACCTAGTATTTATACGCCTTATTTCCTGTACCTTTACCCCCATTCTCCTCCCTCTCCCTCCCAGCTGATAACCCTCCATGTGATCTCCATTTCTGTGATTCCATTCCTGTTCTAGTTGTTTGCTTAATTTGTTTTTGTTTTTATTTTTTTAGGTTCGTTTGTTGATAGTTGTGAATTTGTTGTCATTTTACTGTTCATAGTTTTGATCTGTTTCTTAGATAAGTTCCTTTAACATGTCACATAATACTGGCTTGGTAATGATGAACTCCTTTAATTTGACCTTATTTGGAAAGCACTTTATCTTCCCTTCCATTCTAAATGAAAGCTTTGCTGGATAAAGTAATCTTGGATGTAGTTCCTTGTCTTTCATGACTTTGAATACTTTTTTCCAGCCCCTTGCTGCCTGCCAGGTTTCTGTTGAGAAATCAGCTGATGATCTTATGGGAACTCCTTTGCAGGTGACTATCTCCTCTTCTCTTGCTGCTTTTAAGATTCTCTCCTTATCTTTAATCTTGGATAATGTAATTATGATGTGCCTTGGTGTGTAATTCCTTGGGTCCAACTCCTTTGGGACTCTCTGAGCTTTCTGGACTTCCTGGAAGTCTATTTCCTTTGCCAGATTGGGGAAGTTCTCCTTCATTATCTGTTCAAATAAGTTTTTGACTTCTTGTTCTTCTTCTTCTCCTTTTGGCACCTCATGTTGGAACGTTTAAAGTTGTCCCAGAAGTTCCTAAGCCTGTCATTTTTTTGAATTCTTGTTTCTTCATTCTGTTCTGCTTGGATGTTCATTTCCTCCTTCTGATCAAATTGTCTATTTGAGTCCCAGTTTCCTTCCTTTCACTGTTGGTTCCCTGTATATTTTCCTTTATTGCACTTTGCATAGCCTTTACTTTTTCCTTTATTTTGGGACCATACTCAGCCATTTCTGTGAGCATACTGATTACCAGTGTTTTGAACTGTGGATCTGATAGGTTGCCTATCTCTTCATCACTTAGTTGTACTTTTTCTAGAACTTTGATCTGTTCTTTCATTTGGGCCATATGTTTTTTTTTTCTTGGCACTCCTGTTATGTAGTAAGGGGCAGAGCCTTAGGTATTTGCCAGGGTGGGGCAGCCCCCCCCATCACTGTGTTGTGAAACTCGGGGGGAGAGGGGTCACAGGGGGAACAGTGCAGCTTGCTCAGCTCTTGGCCAACTTTCAGTCACTTCCTCTGCTACCCATAAGCGAATTGGGCCCTTCAGGTGCTGATTCCCAGGTTGGTGGGCTTGTGTATGTTCTAGGACCCCGTGGGTTTCTCCAAAGAACTCTCCTGTGAGGCTGGGAGTTTCTCCCACTGCCTCAATGCCCACAGGTTTTTTTCAGTTAGAGGTTTTTTGGCTTTAATTCCTGGTGCTGGAACCCTGGGTTTCGCAGTCTGTTTTGCTCCCCAGTTGTTCCTTCTAGTTTATCCACATGCAAATGTGAGACCCACCCCCCTTTCTGGCAGCTGCAGCCTTGTGCTTGTCCTCTCTACCCGTCCTCCTGGTCTGGATGAATGTTTCTTCTTTAACTCCTTTGTTGTTGGACTTTCATACAGCTCAATTTTCTGGCAGTTCTGGTTGTTTTTTGTTTTCAAATTTGTTATTGTCCTTCTTTTGGTTGTGCAGGGAGGCCAAGTTTATCTACCTATGCCTCCATCTTGGCTGGAAGTATATGTGAATTTTCAACTGCATGGGGGTTGGCATTCAATCAGCATGTTGAAGGGTCAGCTGTGTACAATAATGTCAAACCTTTCAATCATCATTACATTAAAGTGAAGGATAATTTAGGTTCTACTGATTTGGAATTTGAGGTAATAGCACAGATTGAGGCTGCTTATTTTCCTATTTTTGAAAATCAGGTAAAAGTTATAGTGTGAAAAGTATTCCTGATGAAATGCTTAAAATACAGAACCAGTGGTTTGC